TACGAAGTTGATCTGTACTTGGGTGTCAGGGCCCTCGGCACACTGGAAGGCATAACGTAACCAATCAGTAACCTTCCCTGGCAACCTTTTCAGGATGCCTATAGATGACTGAAAGTCCCAAATTCTCATTAAATTTTCATTGACAGTATTTTCTGCCACCTGTTGTTTGTGCCCCACCTCTTCCTCTCTGGCTGAGCAGAGACACTGCATTTTTGCACATATTTAAATACCTTATTGGCAACTTTGCTTGCCACGAAGTTGATCTGCACTTGGGAGTCAGGGCCCTCAGCCCACTGGAAGGTATAACATAACCAATCAGTAACCTTCCCTGGCAAACTTTTCAGGATGCCTACACATGACTCCCAAGTCCCAAATTCTCATTACATTTTCACTGACAGTATTTTCTGCCACCTGTAGCATTTTTAGCTGTAAATTTTCGTGTTTATAGAGATCTCTCAGAATGTGTTTTTTGGGAATAACTTCCTGTCCAATGGCGAATGTGAACTCGCTGTTGCTTGCACATTTGCTGTAAACGTGTAAGCAATAGCGAGTTCACATTCGCCTATCTCATCCACAGCAGAAGGAAGCCAAGGCCTTAGTGTGGCAGTTTGACTTTCATCTTCAAGAAACAAACCTTCTTTGCCCTCCTGTCTTCATGTTATTCATTGGAGTTGGCACCAAAGTGGCAGTGAGGGATCATAAACTAACTGGGAATACATTAGAATGCATGGAGGAAATAATCCATTTGTTCTGGATTGTGTTTGGAAGGAGCGGAGGGCAATTCACCCATCAATAATGACTAGCATTTGTCAGTTTTCTTCAGATATAAGGGATGTCTTTTAATTTGTTTGCAATCCCTCCAGCATATGTCTCCCTCCCTGCTTCTATCTGTCATCAAGATCCATTCAAGGTCATTTCTACAGTGTAACTGAAACTTGATAGGTGGCTGTCAGAACAACTCTGTAGACATGAGCTGTCACGTGTCAATCCTTTCAATATCAAAATATTGTGGCAAATCTTACAGAATTATAATTCCTCTTTAGAATACATTTTTGAAAAATTAGTAAGGGCACAGACTCATTCAATATTTAAAAATGAAAAACCAGTATTGCTCCTTTTTTTTATACAGACTACACTTACTCCGTTGAAATAATTTCTCTTTTCAGTCAGTCGCATCAGTTTTGAAGAAGGCTCTTAATGTGGAATTAGCTAGCATTTGTAACTGAACACTTAGTGGGGAGATAATGAGGCTCTTGTATCCTTGACAGGGAATTATGTACAGAAAAGCAGCAAAAGGCCTGTAAGAATCCCTTCTCTTCTTGCTTTTCTAACATGGAAAATAAAGCTAAATTGTCCCTTCACTCCAGTATCCTTTTTAGAAGTTCTTGAATTTTTATCTGTCAGTGGTATTTGCTGAAAAGGCAGAGTTTCCTTCCAGTAATTTTAAGAAAAGCTATCATCAAACTGTCAACAGCCTAAATTGAGATTAAAAGTACTGAAGAAAAATCTTTGCTATTATCAGGGTTTCAGCTAAGAGCCCTTGAGCAGACAGAAAATATCTGAAAGGTCTAAAATGGAGCTGCATCATCTTTTTTGATCTGTTGGAAAAACTTGGGAGATGGAGGGGGCGCTAGGTCATTCTTTAAATAAGTGACAAAAGCTTAAACATACTACCCTGGGTTTGCAGACAAAGTCAAAATATACTGTAGTGGATGCAATGGTGTGCTTTGCATACCATTTTAGATTCACTATAAAAAGTGCTGACTTGGCTGCTGGACTGCCCCCAAACCAGGATGTGTGAAATATCTTTGATACACCCAAGGTTGGCAAAAAACAAAGTTAGCATGTATTCTAGTTGTCTCTTAGAATATCCCTACTTTTTGATTTGTATCTCTGATATGTCATCAGGCCCGTAGCCAGGATTTTGTTTCGGGGGGGGGGGGGGGAGTTCGGTTCGTCGAGAGGGCTGAGTTTGGTTTGGGGGAGCTGAGTCTGAGTGAAAGAGGGTCTACCCTAGCAAACCTTTTGTATCGTTACCCCAATACCCCCATGCATATGGGATATATTGAGTATAGTGATCAGATCATGATATGAATAAACATAGCAGTTTAAATAATGCACCAGTAAGGCCTTCTCACGGACCACCATCAGAATTTGGGGGGGGGGGCTGAAGTCCCCCCCCCCCCCGCCTACATGCCTGTATGTAATAGTTCCTGTTGTTTTGTTTTTGTGAAATATTGTATGTTGATATACATCTACATCCCATGTATTTCCAGATAACATTCCAAAATATAGACTCTTGCTCATGTTCCTGGTTTTCTAGGCAGGGTCGCTTGACTGTTGAGACACCTATATTTAATCAAGAACAAATAGAATAAGAAAATTTTTTGTTGTGTTGAATCAGTTCTTCTTCTTGGTCTTGTTTTAAATCAGTTGTTCCCAAACGTATTTGGCCTACTCCCTGGAAATCAATTTTTCCAAATCTCTTCTTTCTTCTATGCTTTCACCGCCCCCCTTATAGTTATTCATCACCCCCAAATGCACCTGTGGCTTTTACCGCCACAGCGCCCACCAGGGGGTGGTAACGCCCACTTTGGGAATCACTGTTTTAAATGCAATTATCTTTCTGTGAGTTGTTTTGCTGGGCTAACACTCACCTAGTTGCTGAAGGCTGAAAGCATTGCTATAGCAGTTGTTAAAACGTGTTTTAAAGATGTGTATATGTGTGTGTGATACAGATTCACTAACAACACTCATTCAGAGCCTTAGAAATGAATGTTGATAATATCAAAATATTACTCATAACAATGCTTTTTAATAAATACTGTACTATAAGGTCAAAAATTCCTCTTTCATCAGTGGGAAATCATTTTATACTGATGAATAAAAATGTCACTGGAAATAGTTATTATTGCAGTACTCATTTTTATTTTAGTTTTAAGAGGGTGGTTAATTAAACTTTGTCACAGACTGATTATTTTTGAAAATGATACTTTCCTTATAATTTATTTTATTTAGTATACTGCATGCACTGTATATTTTGAGAATAGTTAGTTATCCTTTCCTATCAAGGCAGGGGGGGTGCACATCCAGTAGTAACCCTGTGTGGAAGAAGGGACTAATACATTATGTATGGTAAGATATAGCAGATCAAATTATGTAATGTGCTGTTCTTCAAAACTGATGACCAATTTTCTAGCTTTGTTATTGCAGCTCCACTTACTTAAGTGATTCAAAGTTCTGCTTCTAGATTTACTCAAAGTGAAATTGCAATAAACTATATAAAACAAAACAAGCAAGCAAACAAGCTAAACAGAATATAACCATTTAAAGATAAATATTGTGTGTCTGTGTGTAGTGGAACATTCCATCCCATCAGCACCTACACTGACCTAATAAACTAGAGCTGATCCAGCATGACATACACTTGATCAGTTTTGGAATGGGTCACACATGCACTTCCCAGCCACTGCAGAGGCAAGAGGAAATCCCTACTGCCCAGTTGTGCAGAGCATAGTTCATTGCCACAGGATATCCACCCTTACCATCCCATCCCTCCCTCTGTGTCATAATGGTCTATGGCTGTGATATAGATCCTACCTATTAGCTGTCATCTGGGACAACAAGGGAGGGGAAGAGGAATCCCACTCCTCTTGCACCTCTCTTCCCAGATCATTCCAACCAATATTACTACAGGTGACAGCCAAAAGGTAAGATCTGTATCATAGCTGGAGACTGCCAAAACATGTAGAGTGGGAAGGACTGTTAACTGCCATCTCGTGTCCCTGGTACACTAGAGCCCAGGAAACACAGAATGGCAGTGGGAACGATTGTGACCAGGTCTACTCTGGACCTGGCCCAACTATTCAGGTGGGCCCAAAGTTAAGTGATTGCCCAAATTCTGGGTCAGAACTTGAAGTATTCACTGACTTTGGTTAATGTGGTTTTATTTATTTATTTCGTATCAAAAGCATTGCATAAATTAGTATAAAACTGATAAAAATAGAAGGTGTGCAGGCAGCTAAATATCTTTTGACCAAAAACGGGCAACAACAACAACGGCATTGTCTGTAGCCTCCAACAATTCCTCCTCTATACATGAGGCAGGGCACAATGGACAAGCATACAGATGCAGAGTTGTCTGTTCTGCTCCACAGTCACACAAGGTGTGGGATTCTTTTAGGTAGTGCCATTTTGCCAGGTTGTCTTTTGATCTGCCCACTCCACTTCTGAGTCTATTCAGGGACTTCCAGGTTGCCCATTCTTGGTTTGCCCCTGGAGGAAGACCTTCACAGGGGGCAATCCAGTTGGGATTTCCTGATTTAGCTGCCCAGAGGGATATCCTTGCTGTTGCTGGAGGGATGCCAAGAGGTGTGGTAGTTCTCATAAAGCTTTTCCTTGATTTTACTCTATTGGGAGGAGGCTGGTAGCCATGTAGTGGGTGGCTTTCACAGTGTTCAACCTTATTTCTCTCATATTTAGCAGGTTAATGTGGTGTAAAGCTACAATAAGGTGGCCTTGTCTTGAGTTACCCTGGATTAGCTATGCACCGCATTGGGCCACCATGGAACTGATCTAGCCATGAAACTGATCTAATCTAAGTGCCCTGAGTAGATGTGTCCTTAGTGTAGACACAGGAATGTGTAAAATTATTACTGCTAGGATTGAGGCCTGAAAAAGCAGTTTAAAACAACTTTTGGATCGTAATACTGTATATGAAGTGTTAAGAGATGGAAAGGAGATGGGATGATCTAACCAAAGGAAGACACTGGATATTTAATGAGAAAAATCCAAGCCTTTGGCAAGGGGAATAAAGGAAAGAGGTGTAAATTTAATAACCATGTAGGTCATTTTAAAAGTTATGCTTTGTCATATTGAATTAGAATTTCTTTGTAGTGTTGACATTGTGAAACTCAAAGTAGTTCAGTGCATGCCTTGCATTGTGGCACCTGTATGAACATATTATCTGGGTATGATAACCAAATATATGTATCTTGCAGGTCTCAACTGATGGTGCCTCGATTTCTCCTCAGATGAACTATACACCATTGCCATCTGGATCAAGGGACCTCACCAACCACAGGGGTAAATACAAACACATATACATGGAAAAACATATTGTAGGAATGACAACACAATGATAAACATTATTGTATGGCCATTAAGTTCATTACTGCTCTACAGGCACTCTGGAGAGAATTCACCACTCTTTTTAGCTCTTGATGAGAACAGCACACTTGGCAAAATTAGAGTTTAAACATATTAAACAGGCTCCTGAGATACTTTACCAGGGAAACAAATGAATCTATTAAATAACACTTAACAACTTCAACAACAATGCAATCAACCCAAATATTGCTAAGTAGACAACTGCATACTTCATTGATGATTTCAAGGCCCTTTAAAATATACTGATATATGAAATACTAAAATGTATTTCTCTTGCAGTTAAGTTAAAGTTATGGAGAGGTTTTTTTGCTTTGTTTTTCTTCACTATAAATTTATATATCACTTATTCTTTGCCATTGGCTTTTACGATGAAAGTAACGAAAAGGAGGAGAAAGATCTTACATTTTTTAAAGAATTCTTTTTGAAAAGATTAGTATTTGCAGAAAAACATATGAGAATACTATGAGAAATGACATCTACAGTAATTGAATCATTTTAAATATATTTATTTCAAAATAAGGAAAGTATTTTCTAGTGTCTCTATAGTAGGAAACTAATGACCTCTGCAATAACTGAATCCATTCAAATATATGTATTTTTAAGAAGGAAGTTGGTATTTTCTAGTATATCTGTAGCAGAAAACTAACGGAACAAAAAAAAATTTTTACTTCTTCATAATACAGAATTCTCACTTTGTCTGTTTTCCTATTGGATATCTTATGAACTAATTAACTGGGTACACAAGCTGAAAAAGGTAGTCATGGTTTATGAGAGGTGATAATGTTTATGAGAGAACCAGTGATATACCTGTAGTTTCCAGATCTTGGATTATCAGATCTCCTGAGATCATAGAACTCAAGAGATGGAATTAAGGATGGCATTTGCCAGGAGCAAGGGATAAAATTGAGTAGCACTTCTATTAAAAAGGTTTTGATATTTGCTTGAGCTTACTGTTCGTGTTCTCTTTTGCATAGTTTTGGAATATATTTAGTATGTTATGTCTTGGTATCTGTATCCTCATTCTTCTTTCATAGAGGGACACAGAAACTCCAACAAGGGGAAAAAAAGTTTGCTGATTTCTCTTTTGCTTGCACATCCTCCTCTAATATTGACAAAAAAAATTAATAGTCTAAAGTTTGAATCAGATTCTAAGATGGGCCAACTCAACATTTTGGCACCCCACTCAATAAACTGTAAACTGTGAGCTCTAAAAATTATACCTAGGCTGATAAAAGTGTACATTAGGTGAAATTTGATATTGTAATGTTGTTGTGAAGTTTTCTTAAAGTATAATATGAAATGCTTTTCATGCTGAGAGAAAGAAGTCCAGTAGAAAGCCTCAACATGTGGGAAAATGAGGATGAAGGTGTAGTAAATACCATTCTCAGATTCATATAGACAAGCAAAGCAGAGAAAAACTCACTACTTAGCAGTATAAACGGATTTATAATGAATCAAATCATTGTTCCATCCAAATTAGAAATGAATCCCACAATTTCCATGTTGCCCTGTGGGTAGGGAGGTTCTTGGCAGCACTTAGGCCAATCAGCCAGTCACCCCTTATAACCAAAAATGGTTACAAACTATGGCAAAAATTCAATGCTGCATCATATACATAGTAATAAACCAACCATATTAAATTATAAAACTGTTAAAACATCTAAACAGTTAAAACATAAAAATAGAGTAAACAGATTAAAAATATAAAAAGTGCCGAGACATGGTTTCCATACTTCTTGGTTTTCTTACAGCCATTATTGAGATTCCTAGGTTGATGTCAATTTGTGTATTACCTACTTCCCGAACGCCTTGTGTACAGAACCAGGTATTTAGCTTTTTCCTGAAAACCAGGAGGGATGGGGCCAGTCTAATGTCACTGGGGAAGGGGACACCACTGAGAAGGCCCCATCTCTTGTTCCCACCAATCACACTTGCAAACAAGGTGGGACTGAGAGCAGGGCCACCCCAGCAGGTCTTTAAGCTCTAGTTGGCTCATAAAGGGAGATATGTTCAGACAGGTATATTGGACCGGAACCATTTAGGGCTGTATAAGCCAAAGCCAGAACTTTGAATCTCAACATATGCTTAGCACTTTAGAGTGCTCCAAAGTGCTCCATACAGTTTATGTTGTCACGATTACAGTAATGTCATATCATTATCCCAGCTTCAAAGGAAATGGAAGCTGAAACTATGTGTTTTTTGAGATCACCTGGTGATCTTGGAAAGATCCAGAAGATCTCTTCGATCTTCTGGAGAGGCCCTGCTCATGCTCCCACCTGCATCGCAAGCGCGATTGGTGGGGACGAGAGAGAGGGCCTTTTCGGTAGTGGCCCCTCGACTCTGGAACTCACTCCCTAAAGACATCAGGCATGCGCCATCCTTGGCAATCTTTAAGAGGAGCTTGAAGACATGGTTGTTCCAGTGTGCCTTCCCAGAATAGTGATCCCATAGCACCTCCAAAGCACTTCATATTGTTTTAGGTCTGCTTGTATGTTTCCATAAACTGCCCTATCACTTCCCTCACCCATGTCCAGCATTATTTTAATTTTAATTACATTTGGCCTAGCCATAGTTTTTAAAGTGTGTTGTCCTATTTGATAATATTTGTGTTATTGTTTCATTGTTTTGTTGTTTCTAAACTGCTTGTATTGTTGTTATTGCTTGTATTGTTGTATTTTGGGCTCAGCCTCATGTAAGCCGCACCGAGTCCCTTGGGGAGATGGTAGCGGGGTATAAATAAATTATTATTATTATTATTATTATTATTATTATTGGAAAAAGATAAGATTCAGACGTAATGACACATAGCTTTATTTCTATTCTTTTAAAGACTGTATAAACTGTGTTTTCTTCAAAGAGTCATAGCATCACAAAACATTAAACAACAATGAAAGAAATCTGAGATGGATAAAACATAAATTTGAGATAGAATGAAATGAAAATACAATACAATTATTTTAAAACTTCAAGAAATAGAAGTGTCTAAGATGACATTGGACTACAGTGTTGTAACTGCGTATGCTTCCATCAAGATGGCATTCTATAATGAGGGTATGATTACATTGAAGATTTTAACTTTTGTCCATATAAATATTATTTATTTTCCCTATAACTGGAATACAGAGCAGATCTTCTGTGTGGAAAGTTTGATGTGAAAGGATATTTGAGCTCCAAGCCATTTAGAGGGAGAGAAGTTGTAATATAAGGGCAGATACTCTAGAGTATTAAATTCAAAGTAATCCAGTAAAGATGGTGCTTAAATGCTTGCATGATTTGATCATAAAGATAGATTTAACATGGTCCCTTGGTGTTTTTTACTCTGTTAGAAATAGACTTGGCAGCCAAGTTTTCAAAGTTGCAAGCCCCAGTGATGGGAATTTCTGTTTGGCCAGATTGAATCTTTCATGAGTAGAAGTGTATATTATTCAAAAGGAGAGGACTTAAAATTAGCTCTAAAGAAGATACTGCTTGTTCATTTTTGATGTTAACGTGCATATCCTGGTGTGACCCTGGATTCATCGCTGAGCCTGGAGCCTCAGGTTTCAGCGGTGACCAGGGGAGCATTTGCACAGCTTAGGCTCGTGCGCCAGCTGCGCCCGTATCTTGGGAAGTCTGACTTGGCCACGGTGGTACACGCTTTGGTCACATCCCGCCTCGACTACTGCAACGCTCTCTACGTGGGGCTGCCCTTGAAGACGGCCCGGAAGCTACAGCTAGTCCAACGCGCGGCAGCCATGGTGTTAACGGGAGCAGGACGCAGAGAGCACACAACGCCCCTGCTGTCCCAGCTCCACTGGCTGCCGATTCGCTACCGGGCCCAATTTAAGGTGCTGGTATTATCCTACAAAGCCCTAAACGGTTCCGGCCCAAAATACCTTGCAGACCGCATCTCGGCCTACGAGCCCACGAGGGCCTTGAGATCATCCGGGGAGGCCCTTCTCTCGGTCCCGCCTGCCTCGCAGGCACGTCTGGCGGGGACGAGAGAGCGGGCCTTCTCGGTGGTGGCCCCCCGGCTGTGGAACACCCTCCCTGCTGAAGTTAGACAGGCGCCCTCCTTGTTGGCCTTTCGGAGAGGCCTGAAAACATGGCTCTTCGAGCAGGCCTTCAACTGAGAGTACGTGGAACGACACTGGAATGGACTAGGATTATGAAATTGGCTATGACCCCAGGACTTGAGGACTTGACGAAGCGGATTTTAGTATAAGTATATGTTATGTTGTATTGTCTGGTTTGTATTGTCTAGTTTTATTGTACACTGTTCTTTCTGTTGTTGTTCACCGCCCCGAGTCGCCTTCGGGCTGAGAGGGGCGGTCAATAAATGCAAATAATAAAATAAATAAATAAATAAATATCCTCGAGGAAATAATAATTAAGAGATGTTTTCCAGAAATCCAGGTGTTGTGAATTGAGTTTGGAACATCCTGCTGGAAGTCAGTATGTGAGCCATCACCAGCTTTTTCTTTAGAATACAAGGAAGTTCTCTGGTCTCAAAAACTCTCACACATTCTTAATTGGAGTCAAGAGTGTAGCAAGAAAAGAATGAAACACATAAACATGTCATTTTGGAATCCCACTCCTAAGGTTTTTCTATTCCCTGAATGGTCTCGATCTCATATAAAAGATTGAAACCGCTATTGCATATGTAAATATTGGCAGCTTGAAGGGAATTCTATTCAACCTGAAGCTAGGGAAGAGAATGACCACTGCCTTTGTTCATCTCCAGAGGGACCTGTTTACAAGAGTCTGAATCTCTTGTGAGCAACTTAATGCAGCTGTAAATTAACTCTGCTTGGGGCTTTAAAAGAGCAAAGAAACAGAACCTTCCTCATCTGTGTTTCACTACAATTTCACAATTTCCACTCCCCTCTCCCCCATTTAGAACAAAGGAAGGATACAAAATAGGCTATTTCTTACTT